ACTAGTAAGGCACTTGTTACTACTAGTAAGGCACTTGTTACTACTAGCAAGGCACTTGTTACTACTAGTAAGGCACTTGTTACTAATAGCTTCTTTTGATGTAAATGCATCTCGGTTTACCTTCCATGCTCACTTCGGCGGAATTGGAAGACCACCGTTTCACCGGTCGAGACCACCGAGCTCTCGCTCGTTGAAACCCGGAGAACGACGTCGGGCAGACCGAGCTGAGAGGAAGAGAGGCGCCTCGAAGAGGCTTCCACTTAATTGTCTGTAGAAGGCTCACCACTTAGTTGTCGTTTTTTGTTTTTGTCTTGATGATTTTGGGGCGTCATTATGTATCTCCATCCTAGTGTGTGTTGTTGTATCTGAATGGTAGCTTTAGTAGTTTGGTTCGAATGTTCACAGACTACTGGAGATCTTCGGCAGAGTCTTCCCCTCCGCCTTCCTTTCGATTCCATTCAGAACTTCTCGCCCCACTCCTGGTTTTACCACATGCATACCACACATACCAGAAAACACCGGACCCTCCCACACCCTCAAAGTGACCATGCCAGCTCCCGGCGGCGACCTCCGTCGCCCGAAGGACCCGGGTCCGCAGCAAAGGCCGTGGCCCGGTTGGTGAGTTTTGGTGGGGAAGAGGACGTGTGCCTGAAGTTTTCTGGATGAGCGACCGATTGAGATCTATTTCAGAAGGCCCCTGCCCTCGAGCTTTTTGGACGCCCCTGCAGATCAGATGGGATTCTTCGGTAATTCATTGGGGGTTTCCCCCAGTGTGTTTTCGAGAAGTTTGCCTCGCGCCAAGGCTGGACATGATTCGCCAGGGTGTTCCTCGGCACCGTTCGTCCGCGTCTGCACCGTTCGTCCGTGGAAGCTGTGGGTCCTCGGTGGAAGAAAAACCACCCTGCGGTGCCTGGAATTGAGCCTTTTTCGAGCCGTTTTGTTTGGAGCCGAAGGCCGGGGGGGGGTTGAACATGCCAGCTTGCGTCAGCTTGGAAGTGCCCTCAACATGATAAACCCGTGCGTGACTCTGAGATCGAAATGGGATACACCCAGGAAGATTCACATGCCAGGAGTCACAAAGGGGTGGTTTTTTGTCCCCAAATGAGTGGATAATGGGCACCCCTATCCTCCATTAAGCACCCCTTTGTGACTGCTGGTGGAACCTGAAAATGGACCTTTGGAAGACGAGCTTCCTCCAGAAACCGGCTTTCAGGTTCCATGATCATCCTTCCAAGCCATGGAAATCCGAGTATCCTTGGCTGTCCAATGACATAAGGAGAATCGTTACCAGGAATGACTTAATTTCAAGACTATATATATATACAGTATAGGTGGTGGTTTCCGAATCTAAGACCTGCTAAAGAGCATGGATATCAGGTAGGAAGAGGAGGAAGGTGGGCGAGGTAAACAAAGTTCATGCCGCAGACAACCTCTTGGCAGGCTGTCTTAGGTAACGGTATATTATATCGGAATATCCTTGCAAGCAAATCCCCCTGTCGGAATCTGAGGCAGACAGAGCCTTGATCATGGCCACGAAAATGGTGTACTTGGGGATTCTTGGTTGCAATATATAATTCTCAGCTATACTTGCGGTGTGCGGATTGATACACAAAGAATACCACCCCTTTCCCACTTCGTCGCGTGAGCGTCTACCGTGTACATCCGACATCCTGTACAGACGGACCCTCTTCTCACTGCGTACTCACTGCTCACCGGGTCATTATCGACCCGGCTTCATAGTCATCCTCACTTTTGGGAAGACTCTCCTTGCCAGAATATATCTAGATCGTATGTGAACATGGACGCGAGTTTACATTGCGCTGGACGCTGCGCTGCAGGACTCTTCAAAAGACAGAGCTTCGATCTGCGAGCAGCGCAACGAAAGAGAAGCCACTAGAGCTCAACGCAGCTCAGCTAGTCTCGGGACCTGGGTGTGACCTACTTTTCAGGGAGTCTGGTGACATTCTGTCGCGCATGATTGGCATGTTGCCTATGGTCACGAGATGGTCTTCTAATTCAACGACTGGTGCAATATGCAAGCTATTGCAAGCTGTTCTATTTTTGATTGTGCTTTTGGACTTCTTGGTGAAAGTGCTGTGTTTGGGTAAGGATGGACAGGACAAGTTGATTACTCACCTCACAATCCTTGCTCATCCGCGACCTTGTGCTCGGGTGTGAGGGCCGCTGGTTGCGGGCCGCGACACAGGTTCTAGCCAAAGAAGTGGTGGCAAAAGCGCTCGAAGCCAAAGACAAGAAGGGCAAGCCGATCAAGAAAGACCAGGCGACGTGAAACTGCGCACGAGATGTTTCGCGGAGCTGAAGCGATTTTGGATGGCGGCACATGTTGGTTCCAAATGCATCACCCAAGCTGATTTAGGGTGATTTAGGTCTGGTTCTCCAGGCTTAAATCTACATTCCAAGTTGAGAGAAGCGGTATCCGACCCACAGCGCCTTCAGGATTGGCCGAGCCAATGAATTTCTTCGCTCGGCTTCCGTTCGCTCGCTCGGCTCGAGGTGAATTTTCAAACGGAGATCGAACCGGTGACGGTGAACATCGACTCTCAAGCGCTCACGTCGATCATGAGTGAGCTCTTAATGAACGCCGCATGGCGAACAGCGACAAAGGAGACACGGCCGGAGACACGGTGAAATGAGGTTGAAGCTTGGATAAGAACATGTCTAAATGTGTGCTCAACAATGCCGTAGTGTTATGGCAAATTCGTCATTTGCATAGTCAATCTGTTTTTAAAAGCCATTTCCGTCCAGTGGTGGTGCAAGCACCAACTCATGGGGAAGTTTTGGTATAGTATAGATACGATATACTCAGAAGCACACATTTGTTGATGCTTTCCTCATTCTTGTGTCCCCAAGCAGGAAACCTTGTATATCTGACGATCTCCTTGGTCGGGTGGGGGAACACCCTGGTGGATGGAGATCTTAATCCACTGCACGACCAGCCTCGTTTGCCCATGTGACCCCGCCTCCTTGGTCGGGTGGGGGAAGCGCTGCTATCGCTGCTCCGGAACGCTTCCGAGGCGCTGAAGTTCACGGTGGACGGAACGGTCCCTGGGCGCGGAACACCGGTGGCGGGTGGTGCGGTGGCGGCGTGGGGAACGGGTCTGAGTCGTTGAGTCAAAGGAGACGAGTACGCCCGCCCTCCTCGGAAGCGAACGGTTCATGGGCGACCCATAAGCGAACGGCCATGGGTTCATTACTATAGAGTTAGAGGAGACGAACCCATGAGGAACGCTACGAACGGTCGAGAGGAAAAAGCGAAGAAGATTTGGAGACTTGGAACTCTCGCTCAGTTCGGGAAATGGAGGAGTAGTTCGGTGCGTCTCCTTTTTGGTTCATATCTGAATATCCTATAAGGTACTTCAATGAAAGTTTGTCGACAGAGACTTCTTTGACTTGTGTCCTGTGAAACTGAGAGAACCCTTGAGGAATCCGGCTTTTTGCATCTTTTTTCCACTTCGGCCACTCGCACTGACTGTCACGATCATCCTCTGATCCCCAATCATCCTCCACAGTGACTGCCGGAAGTTCGACTGGGAACTGCATCGAGGCATCGAGCGTTTTGCCAAGGTATGACTTGTTTCTTATCCGTGGTCTGAGACAACTCCAGCTGTATTGGCCAAGGTATGCCTAACAATCAAACAAGACAAGGAAGCTGATTCCATTAAGATCGCTGTAAGTGACACAGGACTGCCCGACAGGCCCGACACGTCGTCGTCACCTCTACGATGAAAAGCGACCCTGTCGTGACTCGTGTCGTCGATAGGTCGATGATGACTGAAGAAGGAGAAATTGAAAGGCTTGTAGCATTGTGTTTTATTAATCACCAACAACTTGCTCTGGCTCTGGCAGAGACGTTTGATTTACAAACATTTGCTGAAGCATCGTTGGCAACAAAAAGTAGCTTCTGCAGCCTCTGTGTTTGAGGAGTTCCAGCCCCACTTTCAACGTGAATAGTCATTGTGGCCGGTTAAAGAAATGCAGGATGTTGTGTGCGTCCGCATGCCATGCAGGACCTGGAATTGAGGCAGAAAAGCTTCCTCGAAGCATGGCAAGCATACAGCTTGGTTGAAGCCTAGGATCTGGTAGCATATGGTAGGATGTGAAAGCAAACAAAGGCTCTTCAAGCAATTGGTTGAGTCTTCACGTTGTTTCAATCCAGAAAGCTTGATAGTTATGCAATGTTGAAGTTGAAAGTTCAAGACCAGTGAACGTCATAGAAAGTTTCAACTATAGCTCCTTTAAGATGTCATCGTTTAACCAGGAGTTCACAGGCCTAGTTCGTCCAAGAAGTTTTCTTTACTTCACCCGTGTCCCTTCCCAACTGTCCAATCGGTTCCGGTTGTTCATGGCGACGGATACGTCCCGGTTCGCTGCGGCGTTGAAACCACCCACTCTCAGTTACCCGGACTGAGATCCCGAGTGGTTTGGTCACTTAAGTCTTGAAAGGGGTCACTGAAGAGGTCACTCCAAAGAGATCGCTCCAAGAGGTCAGCTGGTATGTCGTATTTGCCGATCAGTTGGGGTGGTTGGGGGGGGTCAATGTCGGTAGATCTTGACAAATCATGTGTTTCGGTCAAATCTCGTGTGTTGGACGTGTTCGTGTTCGTGTTGTGCTTGTGCTTCTTGTTCTTGTTCTTGTTCTTGTTGTTGTTGTTGTTGTTGTTGTTGTTGTACAATCACCACATGTCCAGGTAAGACAAGGCTCAAACTGACCCGTTTGGGATTCTTGACATCCGAAGGAACCATGCGAAGGATCACTGCCTTCGAGTGGATGCGAGCCTGTGTCAGGATTTCGAGCTGTTTGTTGGGACCGTTCTGTCTTAAAGGTTGGGTTTTTGGTTGTGCTGGGGGGGTCCGCTGAAGTGTTGGTGAAAGCCACCAATCGGAGTTCGAAGGAGGATTGATTGCAATGAAGTTCAGCCAGCCGATGAACCTATATAGGATATGATAGGGATGTATGGGCCTGTCCACCCAACAGATTCATTCTTCAAGAGGAGCTTGTTTCATCCAACTCAATTTCCAATTGTTTACTTCTGGAATCGCTTTGGATTCATCCAAGCTGTGACTAGAAGCTATTTCTTCGAGCCATACTTGGTTTCCATGGACATAATATAGGACAGTTATCATAACTTCGTGAGGCGACCATGTACAATATTTACCACGCTGTTTTCCGTGCTCAAATTTTTGAAAGATCCCAGCTTCCCAAGGGCTGATGAAGGCTGTCAATAAGACCGGTCCTGCCAACGGTGCCCTTGACGAGAAGCGCGCGCAAAGCGCGCAAAGCGCGCACGCAACGAGAAGCCGATAGGGGAGATGGTCGGTCTTGTGAAAGGTGACATACATACTTATCATTCCGAATACAAACATGTAAATACTGCCTGATTGGCCAAGTATGTGAATAGTACATGATCGGATTGTCAGGGAGTTGTACAAGTCATTCTGATGTGTTTTTGGTAAAGATCTTCTAACATGTGAGTCAGAAGTTGACATGTTGTGTGTGTGTTATTTGTTTCCGATCATTTTTTGCAATACTTGTCATCAATTCCTTACTTTTTTGGCTTCAAACAGATGGTCTGCCTGATGGGATGGCAGTCTTTGAGTCAGTCTTTGCCATGGAGCTGCCACTGCCACACAACTGTTTTCTGTTGGCCTTCCTTCTTTTGATGATGCTTCTTGCCCTCAAAATACAGATCCAAGGCGTCACTTATGGCCTCACTTTCTCCACTGTTCCAGGGCAGGCCACACCAAGTAAGTAGGGGGCAGAAGCTGGTTTGGTTCCCAGATACTGAACTGGAATATTTAGGTATACAGTGGGGTGGATGATATTGGATGATCAATGTAAAACGTTAAAATTACCAGCCCCATCACTGATGTCTTTATGTGTGGCGGGGGGGCGTTCTACACCACTTCAACTGGAAAAGACTCCGGTCGCTTCGACGGCTACCGAGACGTTGGACTGGGCCTGGCCACCGTGAGCGAAATCTTGCGGATCTACGGCGGACGCTGCTCGGCCGGGTTCGAGCGAGCGACCAAGAGGGCGGAAGGGTATGAATCTGAGTGACTGGGAGGTGGGCCGGGCCTTTTGGATGGTAGACATGGAAGGTAAACATGGAAGGCTCAGTGGAAGGCTCCTGAAAATAGAAACTGCTCTGAAGAGAAAAACTCCCAAACAGTGCATCTACCAGTATTTGTTAAAAGATCGCCAGTTGTTCCATTGTGGCACTCTTTGAGTCTAAAATAAGGTGATGAGTTCCCCAGCAGCGACTGGAGAAAAGCCTTTTGTTCTGCGATGTTTACTTCAGGATGGGTGGTGTGTTGTTACGAGGTAGCCTTTCCGTTTCTCTTGTGCGGTGAGTAGTGAATTTATTAGGGAGATCCCCAATGCATGGGGGTTCGGGCTCTATACTAGGTGTTCAACACATAGCATCAAACCCGAATAAGACAGGCCATAAACACAAGAAGAACACCTTACAGAATAAAAAACACCAACAATGTTTTCTGAAGAACACCTTACAGAACTCCTGACAGAAGAACAACAATAACACCCATAACAACCATGTTTTGTTTCGCTTCCAGACCCGTCAGATCGAGCGACACCGACCGACACCGACGAAGGAGAAGACCGAAATCTGTTCCGCCACGGACCCCGAGGCTTCGAGCTGAAAGCCAATGAGCCAAAGGGCCTGGTGGCTGCGGCAGCTCGACCAGGGGGGGCATGGTACGGTACGGATGGTACGGTCGCTGATAGGTGTGATAGGTCAGGGTGGATGAGTGGTTGGGCTTGAAGATGTTCAGAGATGTTCAGGATTTGGTGCACATGATACAGGATTTGGAGAAATGAACGCCATCATATGGGCAAATGGATGTGGGGTTTGGATGTTGGATTGAATGTAATCTTTGATACACCTGTAGCTGCTGTAGCTAAGATTGCTTTCAAGGGTATCCTGAAGCAGCAGGACTCATACCACTAGTCACCCAGCCAATCAGTGGACAACCTTTAACTTTTTTGGGGGGGGTTGCTTTCCCTGCATGTTTCCCCACTTAGAATAGGCGAAACCAACAATGGCCGATGGAACCCTTCTCTCTTCGTTTTACCCCAACTCGGCACTTGTCTCGGACCTTCCAGGCACCTCCGAACTCGCACGAGTCGACCCCGGTGGCACAAAAACCGGTGGCACCGGTGACCGAGGTCACGCTGCCGCGGACGCCACCGAAGTCCCAAGGCCTGGAGTTGGAGCCCCGCACCAAGGCGGATGGAAGGACGGAAGGACGGGGACCAATGGACCGGACCATTGGACCGGTGTTTTGGGGCGTTGGAGGAGTGGACCATTGGGGCGTTGGACGGGTTCAAGCGTTTTTACTTTCAAGAGCTGGTTGACCAAGTTGACCTGTGGCGCGCTCGTTTGGCAGCTTGAAGAAAAAGTCTAACAGACTTGAACAAAGCAACCCGAACGAAGCACGTTAAGACTAGTCACAAAATCACTTCCCAAAACACATGCTCCATTTCACCCATTGGCCATCCGAATTCATCGCACCGTTCGCACGTGTCGTCGCCGGCACTTGCGCTCGTCGCCGGCAGGTGCCTTTGCCCCAAACGCGGCAGCGTGGCACGACCTCGTGGCTAGGGCCCAGCAATCAGATCGGATCCTCGGTCCAGCGAGTGGTCGAGGAGTGGGATAGTGGCGGGGTTCGAGGGGTGGCGTTGTTTTCGGAAAAAGGCTCTCCAGGTGGGGGCAGAATACATGAAAGGTGCATATACAATATAGTCCGGGGTTCATATGAATGTCATAGATTGCCGGATTCTATAGCTCACATTTATGAATATTCCTGCTTCTGTCGACAAGATCTTCGTAGCTCATAGTCCAAGTCGGTCAAGTCGCGTCATGAGACCATTGACCTACCTCCAAAAGGATCGAGACACATCCAATATGGCATGTGGTAGGCCAACCATACCTTTGTTTCACCAGCCCATGAACTTCTTTCACCCTTTGCAAGCTTGCTCAGCCAGTGCGCTCTTTGCCTTCCATTTTGATACGGACACATATAGCTGTGCAAGCTGAGAAGTGAAGCACTTGTGTCAAAGCAGCACTTGTCAGCTGGATGAAGAAAGTCGAAGCGGGGAAGAAAACATGAAGTACTTTCCTCACAATAGGTGGACTCCCTGGAATCATCATCGAAGTGGAAAACCACCCATTCGTGTTCATGCCCCTTCCTCATCTTCTGGCAGCCTTGCCTTGATATGACCAGACCGCGACGCAGCTCAGGAATTCCCAACCTCATCAATCCTGCTGGCATTGCAGGCGGAGCTGGACTGAACATGACTGAAGCATGTTAGAGCATGCTACTGAAGCATGTTGTAACAGCCTATACCTATACCATGTCATGTTCAGAGTCACGGATGTCAGCCTATAACATGCTTGTGGATTCCATGGACCCGTTTGTCGGACCCCAAACAGGTCGGACGGCTTCGTCTTTGCCTTCTTTGAAGGAGATCGGACGGTTTCCGGGGGGTCTGCGGGCCGGAGCGGTTTTTGTTGTGGTGCATGGTGGGCTTTTGGGGAGGTTACATAGAGTCCTATATAGAGACTCCAGCAGGACATTCTGCTGGTGGATATGTTTAGCATGAGTTGGAGCGGAACTGCAATCGGGTCCAACGAACTCGATGGGATCGGTCAGCTCGATGTCCCCGGCTGCTGAGATCAGCCAGAACAGCTTTGGACAGAAGAACTTGCTGAAGCACACCGTCACCTGATTTGAGATGCAGTGACTGGGTATGATGTAAAGAAAAAGGATGCTGCAGTCATCCTCAAGCAGCGAGGATGTACATTTGAGATATATATGACAAACTCCGTTTTTGGAATATCACATCTTCTGTGCATGATCCTGCCAACAGGAAGTGTGAACAGGGAAGAGTTTCAGCTGTTTTGTTGCTTTCAGAGAAGGGCTTCTTGACTGGCCATTTGGCACCCTGCTGCGGTAATTTCCGGCTCCAAAGTCCAAGCAACTCCTTATCCTGACTCTCGAGCAATCCTCGAGTGCTCCAAGGTATGTTCCTGATGCTTTCAATGTTTGGTTGCATCACGGCATTTCCCAGCACTTGGGTACATCATCTTGAGACTCTCCAAATACTGTCAAAACGAACGTTCCGGCCAAATTTCAGGGAAGGGCATAGACCTCTGACCAACCTGCTGTTCCGACCTCTGATCACAGTTCTGCGTCTCTCAGTCTACATCCACCTGTCCCTCGCAGGAAGACCCGACCTCCTTGCTGCAGGACCCGGTGCTTCGAACTCTTTGGTCCGATGGTCAACTCGTTGGTCTTTGGGGGTTGATTCAGATCCAATGCCGGATTCTTTGGTCATGTTTGTGATTGGTCAAAAACAGGGGCTGACGGTCGTGGCTTCCTCACAAATCACAAACAACCACCTTGTTTCCTTTTTGGGGATGTTAGATCCACAGGAGTTGAAGACAGAAGAGCTTTTGCTTCTGTTGGGATTTTGGATGTGTGTTTCTTCTGTTTGGGACTTACTTCCTTTTGCTACTTCCTGCCTTCTAATTAGGCTGCTTGGAACTTGATGGCTTCGTTGCAGGTATTCGCACGTTGGGACCCTAAGTATCCTAGGAATGAAGGAGCAAGTCTTCCTATTTCAGCTGGAAGCATGTGGAATCGCAACCGTCCACTCAGAGACCCCATCCATAGGTTTTCCACACACCCATTCAGTGCAACAACCAAGGAGTATAGACATTGGAGGTGAACAGTTGCCCACCAACCAAATGTTTTGCTTCGCAGATCATTGGCAGATCCTTAGCAGATCCAGGATGAGGAAGAGAATTTGATCATGAGCGTCGATGATGACTTTGTAAATCAAGAAGTCATGCGCTCGATCCTGGAGCCATGCGGTTTTAAGCCTTTTGGACAGCAGGGGAAGACGGATGTTTGCTGCTGTGAGCGGTTGCCAGGAACAGTGTTGGCCAGCTCGAGTAGGACTTGATTTTGCCATGAAAGAGGGTAGAAAGTGTTTGATCTGCATAACAATGAAGGATGCCAGCTCAGGGAAGTTGTTCAGATCTCTTACTGGTGACTGAATGAAAGATTGTCAACTCCTCTTTAGCCATGGGAGTCAGTAATCCAAATTGAATTGGTTGGCAAATGGGCGACAGGTTTCCATGTGTACGGGTAGGGGAAAAACACGAACCAGAAATATGAACAAACCTACTAATCAACCAAGATCACAACCAACCCAACCCAACCCAAGCCAACCAACGATTCAACCACCCAGGGTCTGCCATGGCCGTTTTTCAAAGCACTCCCATCCTCAGATGCCTGAATCAGGGTGGTCTCTTGCATGAACGGATCTGAATGCCTGGAATATTTTGATGGAGACAACCCGCGGCCGCGCTTGGTGCTGCTGGACACCTGGTCGAATTTCGCTTCTGGAGACTCGTGTCGAGAGGCACACGACGACGTCGTAACGTCGTAGGGTCCGTTTCGCTCACCTTTCACTGGACAATCCCCCCAATTAGGTCCATGAATTCAGATGAATCCAGATTTGTCATGACTGGAAGACTGTTCCCTTTGCAGAAGCCTCTAGGCTGCAGGGACCCACAGAAGCATGAAACCATACTGCAAACAGATCTGACTTCTTTTAGACATGGTGGCAATCCTTATGTGCGAATTCCGACGTCGGCTCTTCTGAGGGAGGGCCTTGGCCCATGTGAAGAAGCATGTCGAAGTCGCAGAACGCACAAGCATCATGCGATGATCTTGTCTTGTTCGAAAGGTTTCTGTATCCAAAAGAATGGTTAGTAAAAGGTGAGGCCCTATAGGCTTCCAACAACCATTGATTTAATATGATTTATATAAGGTATTATAAGGTGTTGTTTTCACCGAACAACCATTGATTTACCCAGGAATTTACACTACAACCAGGTCAACCGTTCTTTTAAAGGTCTTGGGTGGGCTAGGGCCAGGGTGCATGCTGGTGCTGAGGATTTGATGATGCCGGGCCTGAGTGGTTTCGATGTGCTACAAGCAATGCAGAAGAAGACGAGCCTGCTGGAATTGCCGATCCTCATCGTGTCCGCCGGGGGTCTTAGCAATATCCATTCGTTGAACCAAAGCATCGTAGTCAGAAGTCATAACTGTGACTTTGGGATTTCTGATATAGATAGATATATAGATCGATAGAATAGATATACATAGCTAAATATGATAGATACATAGGAAGCAGGGTTGCTCAACGTTTCACACAAACGTTCTGGATCTGGACCCCTTACGGGTTTCTCACTCCAGAGACCGACGAAATCGTAGAAACTACGGAGACCGTAGAAGGTCTGCAGACCAAACGTGCGGTGCCATGAAGGACAACGGTGATCGCCGAGACGGCAGACCGGTCATACGATGGGAGCAGGCACCGAGGGGCAGAAGACAACACGCGGGTGGTCAGCGGGTGGTACCAAAGGCTGTTTGCCGGAGGGAAGTGAATGACTACGAACGGAGCAAGGACCTTACTACTTATAGTAACAAGCTACTTGAAACAAGAATTAAAAGTAAACGATTCTTCTTACAGCTGCAGCTGGAGTGTCTTCCTCGCCAGCTGGAGTGGACCACTTGTGGATCATCATTCTGCTGAGGCCAAAAATCAGTCCAGCTCGGTCATGAAGGGCCTCTTGGCCGCAGAACAGACCGGATGGCGGAGTCGTGACATGTCGTGACAGGTGTTCTGACCTGGAGGGGAAGTGGTTTTTACATGTGTGTTTGTTTCTATCTGGCGGGCGATTGAGGGGAAAACTGGGAGACCTCTGAGATTCTCTTGGCTTTTGCTAATATATATAAGTAGTAGGGTGATGAATTTCATGATATGTGTTTTCTATTTTTTTGGTCCTGGTTTTCGGGTGAATCCATGTGAATCCTCTTCATTTGGGGGTATTGGTTGTTGTTGTTGTTGTTGTTGTCCCTGGTTCCTGGTTCGCAAATCCTCCAATCCGAGCTATTTCCTTGGTGATTTGCCCATTTTGCTATCTCTCTCTCTCTCTCTTTGTTTCTCTCTCTCTCTCTCTTTCTACTCTACTCTGAACCTTTGCCACCTCTGCGAGGCTATGAACTCGGCTGCCGCGACTGGATTCACAAGCCCTTCTGCCGTCAAGAATTGATTGCCCGCGTCAAGGCGCCCTCCTTGAGCCGCGGAACAAACGGGCTCGTCTGGGTGGACGACGAAGACTCAGAAGACTTGAACGCAACATACTGTCAGTGCGCGCACCTTTTTTGTTCATCCAATGATGAGGAAGTATCAAAGAATTGATTGATTATATAGTTTGATTGATTGTCCAGCTTGTAGCTAGCTAAGGCTATACTAGATTGAAGAAATATACCTGCACTATGTGACTATGTGTGTGGAGCACCCATACCGAAGCTTGAGGGATATATATATATATATCACCAAATGACCCCGGCAAGAGGTTTTGTGCGCTTCGGTGTGGCCATCCACGGTGTGTTAACAGTGGTCATCGACGCTCGACGCTGGGTTCGCCCCGTGCAGTCCCATTTGAAGATGCGCTCGACGCTCTTGAGACGCTGGACGGCAGAGGGGCGAAGAGCTACCGGCGGCATTGCACCATCGAACTGCTCAGTAATGATTCGGACGCGACGAACGGGGCGCTCCTGGCGTTACTATATATATATATATATCTATAGAGTAACAACAACTGGACGCTACGAACGGAACATGCACAGGGCATCGCTAGGAACGAAGCGATCGGAGGCGAATGACGAATTTAGTTGCATTTTATTGCTATCAATCACCCCTTGATTATCAATGAGCTGAGCAGCTCTATAGCTGATGGTTTACCTGTTGAATTCCATCGCCAAGGTGGTTTGGTTTCCCTTGAAACGACACCTTTCCGTCTCCCCGCGTCGCTTCCGTCCTGAGCCCCCCCCTGCTCGCCCGCGGCAACGGCCTTGCAGCCCTTCACCGTTGATTCGAAGGGACAAATGGACAGACCAAGTCGTTCCAGCAGTCCTTGCAGCAAAGAATGCATCGTGAGTTCTTGGACACAAAAACATGCTGCCATCATCGGCCTACAAGGATTTCTGAGCACATGTTTTAAGGGAATCGTTTGCTTGCCTTTGAAGGTCAAATTGTCCTTTGTATTCCTTTATCATACTAAAAATTAGACAACATGCTAAACCAAAGATTGTTTGGGCGCTGATTCTCATCACCCTCAACAACCCCAAAAACCCTGTCGCCTTAAGACCAACACCTCCCTTTACAGTAGCGGTGGTACTCCGAAAACACCGCGCCGACCGGTCACACGCACGCGGACCGGTTTGAGGCTATCGCCTGGCGGCCAAGAAAGAGGCACATGAGGCGCGGTTCGGCGCCACGGACCAAGCGCTGCAGACCGCGCGGTTCGGCCTTCGCCTCAAGAGGGCCCGGTTTCGCGCTGGTTCATGTCGGTTCGAAGCACGGCGACGCACTGCCGGCACTTGTGCGGATCCGCGGGGAGCTGGGCGCGTGGTGTTTGTTATTGGAGCTCGGAGATGTAGAGATCCTTTTTGGGCGGTTCTGGGGGGAGCGGGTGAAGGCGAGTCAAGGCCTTCAGAGGTGAAGATGAGGATGATATGGAGAGTTTTGGTTTCCTGTCAGGTGAGTCACTCGATCCCGGCGAGGTTTCCAGCAGTTTGGTCCAGTTTTCCGTGAATGGCGACGAACCTCAGCACTCTATAGCTTGATAAAATACAGATTGTTCGACATGAAAACATGTCATCAATGGTTGTTGGAAGCCTAGCATATACCTGGATCTTCCAACTGTCCAACAAATTCTGCCGGTTTTTTAGATCAATAGGCACAAATTGTACATCGTTGGAAGATCTAGGTATGCCTAGTACATCGTTGCAATGATCTCGAAGTGCTGTGCTGGTCAGGAGAATGATTGTGCCTTGAGCGATGCCCGGATGCCCGTTGCGGGGGGGTGAAAGGGGTGGTGGCCCCTGGGCCACGAGCCTCCTGGCAGAGGAGAGGTAACAAGACGAAGGACTTGCTCTCCTGGAAGCAAGCTCAAAGGCACCTGGTGGTCATGTTCAGTCCTCATCTTTTGAAGCGTGGCACCCTGCCGGACTAGGGAGTGGGTACTCAGGGTACTCCCTCTTTTTCAAGTATGAGTACCTGAGACTGACACTAGATTCTTTCAGTTCAATTGATAAGCTGTCCTCAGATGCTTGGGTTCTCTCAAGTATTGGGCTTCTCCCAAGCACACAATGCCACAATGCGCAAGAATTGTTTGGGGCTTGGAGCTGGTTGAGCTTGTTTGGAGGTCTTGATAAAATATGGGTCCGTGTGTTGTTTGCTGAGCGGGGTTGGTGTTTCAGACATTATCCTTGTAAGTCCTTGTCGATCAACAGATCTACAAGTCTTCTCCTGGCACTGCTGGCAGTTGGCTGAAGAAAAGCAAGACAACAGCTTTGTGACAGGCGCGTGGGTGCTGAGCGAGGACCAGTTTGATGCAACGCTGGTAGGAGGGCTGTGCAGAATGTCAGCTTTTCATGTATGAAAGGAGCGTGTAATACTTGTTTGGCAGTCTGGTCCTTTCTAAGGCATCGTGCAATTTGGGCCACTGATTGACAACAAATATCATCAAAAACAGACAAACACGTGGGCATTTTTGCATTGTAATGGATAAAGGAATGACCCTTGGGGAAGCAGTTTGAGGGGGCGGATTCCAGAACTTGAAATGAGTAATGCCTTTGGAACAGCACATGTTGCTTGGTCAAGGCCCAGCTGACACCACTGTGCTCTTCGCGAATGTGGTCCCTTGGAGGAGCGTTACGCCCTGGTTCCGGGACCCACATGGAACCTGAAAAGCACGTCGGGTTGACCACAGGTCGTTGTGGGACTGTGTTTCCGGTGGTTCAGCGCGGGTCTAGCAGCTTTGCACTTCGGGTGGTTCAGCACATGATCTTCATGTGATTCCTCAGCAGATTTGGTGCTAAGATGTTCTGCTCAAAGAGTTTGGGCATCTTGGCCTTAGGCCATGTGGTAACCATGTGGTAGAACGGAAGAAGTGGTTGTCCACCTTCATCCCGGTATATATCTTATAGAGACTACAATTGATTCGTGCAAATCATTGTGTCACCATCAGTCTGATATTAGTGATTGACCAGGACCTTCAGTGCATGACTTTTGAAGACGACGTCACGTGACACTCGGCCATCCTGCGATCTCGGTCACGAAGATCGGCAGATAGTTAGAGCACCATAGAACATCACCCAGACACTCCATGGGACTAGTTCGAAGGTATATATATATACATGCCGCATACATTGACCCCAGGTCAACCACCCCAACGGATCGGTAGATATGTCATACGTGGGAGTGTTTTGTTTGTTTGTTTTCCCATGTGCGCTTGCCGATTTGGCCGTAGCCGATTTGGCCGCAGGCACCCAATTCATTATTCATACATCCGGTTGAAAGAGTGTCTGGGTCATAGAACAACAATTGAACCCATCCTTACATATGCCCTCAGTGGATCCAGGCAACATACTCTTCGCTGGGGCTCCCAGTGGTTCCGGACTCTTCCAAAGACCATAGTGCCTTCATGGGATCCACTGAAATAGAGCGATATGCATCGATATGCATCATCCCCAAAAAAAGACAGCAACACGGTTCCAACATGGTGTATACCCCCATCTCTGAGTGCCGTGGGTTTCGGTGTCTCCACATCCCTCCCTGGGGGCACCCAAAACTGAGCGCTGAGGCTGCAGAGGGCTCGGTCGAAGGCGCTTGAAGTGGGTTTGGTCGGGGGCGGGGTAGGTGGGCCAAGCCTGGCAGGTCCAAGCCGGCAGGGAGCAGGGAGCGAGCGAGGGCGATCCGGAGCTGGGGGGAGTTCCCCCCAACTTCTTGCTAGGTTTATATAAGGCGTTCCAAAGGTGCCCGGTGGGACGGGGAAGCCCTTGGCGGAGCTCAGACGTTCCATGTTTTCTGTGTCAAAAAGAAGGTGGTCTTTCAGTCACGGTGGGAGAAGGTAGTGGAGAAGGTCGTATATATCGTTCGAAGAATGCACAAAAATACCCAAGGTTCGATGAAGATGTAATATGAACATCTCTGACCCACAAAATGCCTCCAAATACCCGGGTCAGACCGAGCAGTCTGACCCGCTCTCCCCCCGCTCTCACCGGGTCAGACCCGGGCGCGCTGACGACGCGCCACGGCGCGCCACGGCGAAGACGGGTCGCGGTGCGAGCCGAATCGGATTCTCCAGCGGTGTGGCTGGTGGGGATGAGCACCTCCATGAAGCCTTTATGCATGACTGTATACATATAAGAAGATAATAGGCCATCTATCTTTATAAGGCAGGGGTCGGAACCGATCTTTATAAGAAGATGAGCTTAGCCATGCTTTTCCAATCCAGATCAATCAAGATAGTTTCCGGAAGTTCCGACCCCTGCCTTTGGCTAGAAGGGAGCTTCATCGTCCCAGGACTCCATTTGTAAACTTCTACGTACATGCACAGACTTCTCAGATGCTAGAATCTTCTATATCATGACCCTCCAACAGGTCACCACTTGCGACGTGTAAGTCTCCAAAAAACCACCAGAGCTCGGAGACCTGTGACCTGTGATTAGAGGTCAGATGTCCTTCTATGAAAGGAAGACTCCTCCTTCTCACCCCAAGGCCCCCCTCCCAGCGGCACCAGGCGCACGCGTCCGCGCTCGACCCATCCACGTACTCGCCTCCACCGGCACGGCCGAACCCGAACCCGAACGGAACCGGTGAGCGCCCGACCGCTTTGGCCGAAGGCATGGCTTCGGTCTTCGAAGACTTCGAGCGCCACAGCCGGCAGCCGCTTGATCTTTGTCCGGTTCCAGTCGTTGGTTGGAGCGCTCCGTCTTCCGTTTTGCTTGGAGCTCGGTATCTATGGGGCTAGATCTCCAGGGGAGAGATCCCAAAGCAGTTATGGTTTTGAATGGCGAAATGGTATGTTTGAGATTTGCAATAGCTCTTTGATTTTCTTTGTATGCCTGATATAATCTGACATACATGCTATCATTCATTTGGACTCCCTCACCCTAACTCACGTTCCAGCACCGAGACATGCACTATACAATATTAGTCATCATCATGGCATACTCATTGACTTCACCACCTGCTCATAATATGTTTTGTGGAGCTTCACCGCCATCTCCGTGTTTGCTTTCATTCCCCACGTCGACCTGAGCCCCACATACCTGGGGAGGGAGGGGGGGGAAGGCATCCAGCTAAAGCTTTTGGGAGCGCTACTTTCTTGGGGGGGGTCTTTCCTTAAAGAACCCACTGCCACCTCCCACCGTGGTCCCATCGTGGTTTTCCCCCGATCTCCATCCTCAACCCACCGTGGCCCTGCGCCGGTCTATCCATGACATCCCACATGGGGTTCCCACCGATGCACATGCCTCCGAGGCACGAAGCCCTCCGCACCGTGCCTGGGCCGCCGTACATCCAGTGAGTCTGAACATGGGTCATGGTACATCCAATGTCATGAAATTCTGCCTAAGTCTTTCGGTGCTTTTTGGGATCCAGGCCCACTTTTCCAAAAGACCCTGAAGGGTAGGGCGCTGCTCAAATGGAATGACCCGACTACTGTTGAAAACACCTGTTGTAAGAGTGTTTGAAGAGAAGCTTGCTGTACTGTTGAGTGCAACACTAGCCTGAAGACGGATAGTGTCCTCTTCCAGTGTAGGGCTTTCCATCTCTGTATGTTCATCTCTGATGCTTCTTTTGATCGAACATGCTGGAAACCAACTGAAATTCCATGAGGCACCCTCACACCCTTTGCTGCGAGCAAGCAAGGCCCAACTTTTATCCGTATACCTTCTAACATTTGACCTGGAAGGAAGTACTGTTGAAGTCTTTGGTTACTCCACTTTAAAAGGAGGTGTACGCTAGCGAGTCATTTACTGGACTGGATATATTATTAGATTTCATCCACTGGCTGCAGGATTTTTTTTCTGTGAGCTGCGCAAAGAGCCCTTTCTATAGCAAAGCTTGCTGCTTAGACTCTTAGAGACCTCGGCGCCACATCCCCGTGCCCTTAAGGAGGTGTTTGGCAGCTCCTTGGGCCGCATGTGCTGAAGACGCGGTTCGCGAATGAACTGACGCCTCGATCCTGCAAGACTTGTTTGGGGTGCCACCCCCTGTCACACTGAACAGAAGAAAACCAGAGAAAAAGGTTGAAGTTAGATGAATGGAGCATACTAAGTAGAGCCCAGTGGTTGTTTGATCTGGTTATGCAAGGTCTGTAGAGGTGGAACAGGAATCAACCCGGAAAAAGAGCCCAATGCAGACACGACTAATGGGACTGCCAACTTTGCCAACATTGGGGTCGTTTCGGGGCTCGGCCGGCACATATACTCATAATCCATCCGTGCAGTGTTTGGGAGACGTCCGCGGCTTTTCCGGTACACTCCGAAAGACACGCGCATGCTGTCACAGCAAGCGGCAGCATTGGGGAAAGCACACAGGTCAATCCGATCCGTTCCTGCATTTCTCAAACGGTTTTGTGTCCGCTTCTATGTTGGTGAGAAGGAGTGTTGGTCTCTCAAACTCGCTGGCAGGCTGACAGAACACCAACATCAACAGTGAACGGAGGATTCAACACATATATACACAATCCTCCAAGCCCGCAACACCATTTGGTCTCTTAAAACATAAAAAGGAACAATATAAATATTTCACCTTGAAAACACAATACTCCGACAAAAGGTGAAAAGGTGGTATTTCTGAAAACAGTCTTTCTTTCTTCCAAACGCTCACACTAGCACCCACTCGCCCGGACACTCTCGGCCATAGAAAGCGCCGGAGCCGGGAAGGCACCTATGTGGCCATCGCCATGGGCTCGGAGGATCAGACCTTTCACACTGTCCCTCCCCTTGGGCAGGGTGGACGCGGGCGTGGTGGGCGCGGCTGGGCGTCCGCTGGGCGTCCGAGAAAGACCTGGCGGTGGGAGTAGTATATGTTAGTAAGAAGGTCCAAAGAAGAAGAAACAAAGCAAGAATAAACATGTAGCATCATCACTGCGAGCTTGCAGCTGCATCGATGTATAGGCGTTTTCGTGGTTTGGACCTCTCAATTTCCACATCCGGGCCTTGATACGTGAAGGGTTGTGAACGTTTTTCGTGAGTCGTTTGTATAGGGTAGGCCTTCAGGTCCTTAGATAGGTAGCGTTGCCAATGCAACTTGCAATGGTTTGCCATGGTAAGTTGCCTGGTACCAACTAAATGACATAAAATGACTCACAGTCTCCCTGGTGATGGAACAGCTTTGGCTTTGGGGGGAAGGAATCCCCAACGACCCGGGTTTGCGGACCCGAATGCCCGATGCACCGTGTGTTACCGTGTGGTCCACAGAAGTCACTGAGGACAAGCTCCTGCTGTTGGCTTATGATCTCCTACAGACGACTCACAAGGTGTGCTTCGAGGTGGTGTTTGGTGTCCCGAGATTACAGCTCTGCTCTCTTGTGTCGTCTCAATGTTGATCCATATTTCAATGACATCAGGCCATAAGGCATGCATGGAGTGGAGTGCTCGGTGCTCCGTGGGTACCTATAGCACTTGACATCTCAGATCGGCCTGGGCCTTCTGCCAGGCAAAGTTCTCTGTGAGTATCGGCCTTCACTCCGTGACCTGGAGTGAAGGCGCGAATTGTCTTTTGGATTCGTGACCGGTTCGGCGTTCCGAACGACAATAAGAACCACCAAGGCTTAGAACTCTTGAGTCCCCCCATGCCTCCCATGTTTCAATGCTGCTGATTGGACTTCTGACATGTGCTGACATGAATGGCTTTGTTTCTGGTGTTAAGACCAAGCTTCATGCGAGAACATTGAAGTTGGGGGGTCAAGGGGATTGGAACGGTGACTTGGAACAGCTCTTGCAACGGCTGCTTTTTGAGGAAGAACCCGGTAGGTCCATTTCCCAGCAGCATCCCCCTGCAGCTCCAAGAAGTAGATCAGGCCCAGAGTGGAGGTGCCTGCCAAGTGCAAAGACCAAGCATGAGACCAGATATCCGACCCTTTTGGGTGTATTATATAAAAGTGAAGTCGTTTTAATCTTGTTTTTGTTTGCTTTCCGGTCCATCTCCAATCTCTCCATTGGGATTCTCTCCATTGGGTCCGTGGATCAAAACAGTTCATCGAACGCCTCGTGCCACCGCGTCATCGAAGGCTTTGATCCGTCCCCACGCGACGGAGAGACCCGCGTCGGAGAGACCGCGAGACCGCACCGCCGAGGAAGTCGCGACGCCGCGCACGGTGACGGGGCGGCAATATCCGAAGAGCAGCTTCTTCAGTAGCACGGTGCAGACCGCAGCTTGGAAGTGGGAGTGTGGAAGGTGGAGCCCGGGGAGGTTTGGGAGGTTGGGGAGGTGTGGGGGTTTGTAATTACTGTAAATGGAAGATTCAGTGGGGCCCAAGGGTTTTAGGATGTTTTAGGCTTCTTTTGCGCGCTCATGAGAGGGGTTCATTAGAGAGGAAAAAAGAGAGGCTGTTGCAGCGTGCCCTGCTTGGCGGTGAGACATCGTTATGGACTGCGGTTGGGAAGTGAGAGCTTGGTATGGATGTTGCAGTGACTGCAGGGCTTCTTCTTATCGGTGCGTGGTACTGCAGGAACTGAAAATGATACGATTAAGTAACTGGTCACACAGATTATGTCACTTTTTTTGTGTTTGATCTATCAGACAATACACAAGGAACGTATTGGCAGGCATCACACTCACCAGCAGGTGCAAACAACATCCAGAATAATTAGGTGCAGAGGTTCTTATGGAAGACATGTGGAAATATACAAGGAATCTGTTTGTCAATCTTCTTATAATAATTACCATCCAGCACCACCCAAAAGGGTTGCATTTGCACACACCTCTTGTTCCAGCCACACCACTGCTCGCCACTGAAAACCGGCTGTGCTCCTCCGTTTGAGGCCAAGAAGTTATCGGAAGCCGCCGCTTGGGCTTCGCGGGAGTGGAACCATAGGATCTATGCAAGGTCACTGCGGATGTTTCGTGGGTCACAGTGTTTTGTTTCGATCCGGCCTTGTTGGGCACTGTGAGGTCACAGTCGTGTTTTGATGTTTGTTCATTGTTTAAGAAGAAGAAGAAGAACTTCCCAACAAAAGAACGGCTTTTTCATTTTGATTCCATACAGCAACATGTGTGGTTGCTTTTGTTCGTGATGTTTGTTTGTTTTCTCGGCTCTCAATTGGATGTTGATTCCAACAAATCCTATTTTTTTTTGACATGCATGTCAACCCCGGTCTTGGTCCTGCAAGAAGTCTTCAGCGACTGCCTGCTTCCACGCGCCATCAATGCCGCGCCATCGGTTTTGAGGCAGCGGAGAACCGGATCTTGTTGTCTCGCACGGCACGGTGTCGCTTGAGCGCCGATGTGGAGGCGCCATGTTTCGGGGGGCCACGGCGGGGGAGAGGTGTTCTTTTGGGGATGGCGAAGGTAGAGGCACTGTTAGGTGATGGGGTATGGTGAGAACATGTAGGAACTTTGCCAACTCGAGATTTGTTTGTAGTATATGTGATGTGTATATCAAGAGATATACAGAGCAACCCACACTGGGTCACTGGGTGAGTTAATCGTTATTGATATCCTTGGTTGGTGAATTGGGCAAGTGAAAAAAAAGACACACCTACGTTTGAGAAGCCTCAGAAGGATTTGTTTTCCTTGCGTGATTCCGTAGTGGATTTGCCAAACTATGCCAAACTGCAAAAACAACAAATCACATGAACAAAGAAGATAAACACACGTTTGAATACGATGTTTCGTACCGAAAAACGGGGCGTGCCTTTCGAAGCACCGCAACTGGTGCGTTTGGATCGGTCTCCGCCTCGCAACTCGCTTGCTTCGGCGGTGGCATCGCGAGGCTGAGCTGCAACTGCAAGGTTTGCAACTCCTGGAGGGTGATGCCAGTGCTTGGCTGGGAGAGCAACTTGGACCACTGAGATCTGTTGGATCTGTTGATTTCATGGAGGATTCTTGGATTCCGTTTAGTTGTTCTGTTTAGATCTGTTTAGACGTTCGAGGCATTTTTGGGTTTCGGGGCTTGGTCTCCCCTCCTTGCAGGGGTTGTTGCTTGGAGTGTTGCACGGGTTGTGCACGGCTGAAAAGGAGTCGGGAGACGATAGGAAGAGCAGCTTTGTTTTGATCATTTTGGGCAGATTCCCCTTTTGTTTGATTATGTGCCTTAGTGTTTGGAAACCGTTTGCCGACCAATGATGCAAGTGATGCTGTCCTTGAGAAGTGAAACCCTTAGTATGCCTACTGCCAGTTGATCATTTGTGGGACTAGAACGTCATTACTTCAGATTTCTGGTAGCAAACGATCAATTTCTAACACTGACTAAGACCAATGCTGGGTCAGTAACGCTGATGTCTGGTCCCACGACCCAGCCGCGATGTCACACGCGATGTCACACGCGATGTCACCGCGTGGCCCGAAGGCTTGGATCTGCCCCTGACTTGTGGTCTCTCATGTTCCCTCATCCCGTTTGGCGTCGGTGAGGAACCCTTGTTTCATCACCGAGGAAAGTGTCAATCTCCTTGAACACGATTGCCTCACAAGCACGAGCATGCACGACGTAGTCCAAACAACCACAGTCGGTTCACAAACTAATTCTGCATTTTGGAGCATCAGGAGAAAAACCCTTTACAGTAAGGTACACCGTCTCAAACTCAGGAGAGCTGTCCCTTGTGATCAAAAATCAGCATTTCTGGATTGAACTCCATTCAAAACCCCTGCACTAGGACTTTCAAAGTAAACCTTTCTTAGGCGGTATCTTTGAGGTACTCTGCCTCAAACTCAGGAGAGCTTTTCCTCGAAAGCTTGAGTGCAACAAATCCATTTCTCGATTGAACTCCATTCAAAATCCTGGACTGGGACTTTCAAAATTTCCACACACTTCTTACCCATAGTCTCCACTGAGGAGAATCCAGCTGTTCAACAAATCAGCATTTCCGGATTGACCTCCAGTCAAATCCCATATTCTCCACTAAGGAGAAAACCAGCTGCTGTCAGTTCTATCTCACCCATATTCCACATTTGATGTGGAATCAATCGTACTCGTAGTGTCACGTCAGTCGTAGTGTCACGTCAATCATTGTGCTCTCGTGAAGCACTCACCACAACAAATCTTAGCAAGCCCCACACTTCAAACGTTGCATAGGACACCAACTCACATTATTGTGTTTTTTTGAAAAAGGTGAAAAAGGGATTGCAACATGAGTCATGTCTCAATTCCTTCGACCGTTGCATCGCACAATCGTCAATCCCAAATTAAGTCAAGGGATGGGGTAAGAATCACAAGTTTTCCCGGACACCACCACCACCACCACCACCTCCTCCGATTCAACCAGGCCAAAAAGAACCCTACAGCCCCAAACCAACAAACCACCACCACCTCCACCTCCTCCTCATCATCATGAAATGGGCCGTTTCCACGCCACGCCACGCCTCTTCCGGGACACGACCGCTCCGCACCGTCCACCCGACCCGAGCCGAGCCGCTCCGCCCGAGCGAGGCATTTCTACGTGGCCCAGTCCAGCGACAGTGACAGCTCTCCGCTGAAGATGCCGCCCGAGCCAAAGGTCCAGGCAGGTCGGGTCCGGGGCGGGTTCGACGGAGCGGCGACGTGGCGCGGTGGCGCGGTGGCTGGCCTTGAATTGAGTGGTGTAGCAAAAAAGGCATGTTTTGGGGGGAAGGGGGGTTTTATCTTGGGGATGCCTGTCTTTTTTAATAAAGGGATGCAAGATGGATGCAAACAATGCTGCAACATTACAGCAAGATGCTGAGTTGCTGAAATTCACAAGGATTTGTTTAAGAAATCTTGAACTCTGAGCTGATGCCACACGCTCAAGTTGCGGGCGCCCAAGACTTCTCATGAAAAGCACCAAATTCCTTCCAGTCGTGGGCTTTGATGGGCGGGTTCTTATAGTCTAGCTGCCAGCAGTCCAGAGAAACGTTACAGTTCGCTCGGCAAAAAGAGACGATTCCCTTCGCTTGGCAGGTGATTCCCTCACCCGAGAAGGAAGAGATGCTCAGTAAGACTCAGCCGCTTGGCTTGCGGTGACTGCAGCAGATCGAGATTATTGAAGTTTGATGCAGATTCTGACAACACATTTGAGGTGTGCACCTATACAAACATGATCAAACCCAATAAGTAGATTATCAGATTGACCACACTTCACCAAAGAGTTAGTAGTTGGTCTTCACCGTGTTCCTTGGCTGAACATCCCACAGACTCCGTACCATGTTGCTACTGAGGATGCAAGTGCAAGGGCTCCAGGAGGATCTTGGCCGCGCTTGAGACGGACAGATATCCCTTTTGAAAGCATGAACAATAATAAACAATATAATGATTTACGTTGCATATCGACGTGGTAATTTATGTTCCATAAGGTGTCATACATCATAGAGACACGGTATTTGTATGTTTTTGCATGGTATTTGTATGGATATATCACAATTGATACATGTAAGGTCCTTTTTTTTTCGATACTTCTCCACCTCTTCGATCCTGGATGTCGCCCAGCGGTCCCTCCCAAAGCACAGCACATGACGACGTCGGGCTCGGGAGAGGACGTAGATCTTTCTTTGAGAAGTGCAGCGAAGTCGTGAGGTGGAATTCCACACCATCCAAATCCAAATAGCCTGCTTCTATAACATCCCATGCTGATCATGCTGGATTAGATCATGTCAAGTGCTGTTTTCAAAGATGTCGTTTAGATCCACATAGATCCACCAAGTCCTTGGGAAGGTAACATGACCTTTTAAATCCTTCTAAGTTGTTTTTGAAGGCATTGCGGCATGAAAAACATGTTCAAGGGATCCCTTGAGAGGCCCACCACTTGCACTGATTCTATACCGTCTATACCGACTTTCTCTTTTAGGAGCTCATCCCATATATCACTTGGCAACCAACCTGTACCATAAAAGCCAGTAATTAACAAAGGATCCCATCCTCTTCAACCCTGAAGCAGTTGTGCTGTGCTTTTTTGGAGACACCGAGATCACGCCCCTTCACGAACCACTCGCGCACGAACGGATGGCGGCCGGACGGCGCCGGGCCCGAGGCCTTGGCGAAGAGCAAACATGGCTCCGCCAGTCTCCAAAAGCAGCCACTGGGGGCGAACAGTCCGACGGTCTGGAACAAAACGGACCGGTCCCTCCAAACGGGTCCCGGTCCCATCTTGGATGGTTTTTTTGGGACCGTCGAACTCACGAACTCACGTCGTTGAGGCCAATCAGGTGTTGCAGCCCAGCGTTGATGTGATTTGGTGTGTTTGGCGTTTCTTTCGGGGCCACGTTGGCTTTCTTTTGGAGTTCGGTCATGTGTTTTTGTGCGGTGTTTTTCTTCGTGAAGCATCATATGCGGAAGGGTATTCCACAAGGTTGACGTTGGACACAGCCAGCCTCAGACAAGAAAAACCATGACTAAAGACACAGTTTGCCAACATGCAGAAGTTATGCAGCCGAAAAGCAAGCACAAACAAACAAGCAAGCAAGCAAGCAAACCAACAAGAAAACAAACAAGCAAACAGCTGCAGACCGCTGGTTAATGCAAGCATAATATCCTCTTGAGACATTGGTGCCATGTGGATTGGTATACTGGGTCATTGAGCATGGATTGTCACACCATCCGATTGGCAGCCTATAAGGCTCAACATCATGACCGAGCAGCTGCGGAATTCCAAGCTGGAGTCTGACTCTCTCCGTGTGCAGCTGAAGGCAGCAGCTCAGTGAGCTCAGTGGGAAAGGTGACAAGGAATGACAAGGAAACACGAAGCCCAAGCCTATATGTGACAGATTTGTGCATGTGATTGTGTCTATAAATAGAACTAGGGCCACCCTGCAAACACCTCCTGCAAGAGAAGAATTGAACGAAAACCATCCAAAACTCATTGGTTGTGGGGCCTTTCTATTCTAGCATTCTAGCAACCACGCCTATCGTTGCTCACACGAATCGTGTCCTGACAGAATGGAACAGTAGACTCTCACCATCCCTTTGATTCGTGAAATTAGTCTAACATCATCTAAGTATGATGGGCCATAGATACTCCCCCAACAACAAAGCCCGGCAAAAAAATCGACCAGGTATACCTGGCCCTCTGGCTGATCTAGGCCATGTGTTTGTCAAGACAAGTTGCTTTGAGATGTCATTGTTACAAGCTGATCTTCGTCAAGGACCTCGTCGCCGATCTTCAAAACAATCGGTTTGTGTGTTTCAATCGCTTAGATTGCAAAGAACAAATCATCCGTGCTGATGTCACAACTGGACAGCTGGAACATCTCCTTATGGCCCATGTGTTTTTCACTTTCCCAAGAGATGATTTGGATTGATTTGGGCTAAAAGAATTCAGCCTCCACCTGTCTCTAAGTCTAAGTCCTTTCACCTGGTCATTCCTGCTGTTCGCCTCGTGGATCTCGGTGCCGACTTGGACGAAGGCGAGCACCGGCCCTCGACGTGACGTGCTGCGAGAGGAGCGGCCGGATTCCGGTCGCGCTCGCGAGAGACGGTCGGTCCGGTCCGGCACGGTGGGTCGGATTCAGGTCGGCACGGTCCCTCCCAGTTTGGGTGATTGGATGGAACAATAATATATATATATATATATAGAGAGAGACAGAAATAGTATACATAGACATAATACTGTAACATAAATCTGATTATGGTTGTAATAGACATATTATAGTACTGTAACATAATACTTGATTATGATGATGATGGTTATTGATGTTATTGGGGGTATTGGAGACGGGTCTCTTTTCAAGCACCTGAACTGGGTGGTGCTGGCCCAGGCAAGGGTTGAGTTTGGAAGTGATGGCTAAGACTAAGATTGGATGGCACAACTTCGGTCAACTTCGGCTTGGTGGTTGATGTAGATGGCCATCGGTTGAAACCTCCAGTTCTTCTGAGCCTACAGGCGCCAATACAGGTGCCCTGGAACATAAGCTTGAGCTACACGGGCTACACAGACAAACTTTTGTTGCACAAGTGAAGTGAATGCTGAATGGGTGCCTATCTTAATCCCTTCACCGCTGGGCAGACGGGTCGATTTCCCGGCTTCCGTCCGGCGAAGACCGGCACGAGACTCGAGACGGAACGTCTCACAGAAGGGGGAACATGCAGCAGTTGCAGTTTGTGGTCTTGTTGCTGTCTTTCTTTCTAAACCAAGTGACCTTGGTTTTCCTTGGAGTTGTTCCATAGTATTTGGTTGGACAATTCCAGTGATTTGATGAATTAGTTTCTCCAGAACAATGTGTGCAATATTGTGCAATATGGACTTGGAGGACAGGTGCAGCCAGGATAGCCGATGGTAGCCAGTCGTTTCTTCGGTGGTTGATAAAGACTCTAATACAACACGTGGCAATGTGGCAAGTTCCATATACAGTAATGCAGACTCTTGATTAATCAACCCCCATAAAAGGTTTTACACTCTAAATGGTCGGGGGATATGAATAAACCGTCTACAGTATTTGTTTCTCTTCCGATGGAACTCTACTCTGAATCCATCCCAGAAATCCTTGGCGAACCCAGAACTGCAAACTGCGACTACTTATACCTGGTATAGGACATATCTCCCTGCTAGGAAGAGTCCATCGTTTTGTACCAACACAGCCATTAAGAATGACCTCAAACATACATTCTAGCATTTCTTTAGACAGGAAGATGGTCTTGCCTTGTCTTGCCTTGTCCCATGCCATTTGGCCATCCTGAAGGGAATCACAGTAAATTTATGGCAATCAGATAGCTTGGACCATTTCTGCATGGAACCATCCTTTGAGTTGCAGGATACCATGATCCCTGAAGCAGCCGGGACATCTGAATCGGCAGCTCTCCTCTTCTTGCAGCACCTTGGCCATTTTTCTGCCTCTCAGACCCTCCATGTTAGTGGGGGACAGTGTCCGTCAGCGGACAGTGTGGGAGCCATCTACTGCTGGTCATGGCATTTGGAGCCCCGTTCATGGTAGATGGACATCTGTTCAGACCCGCAGTCAACCAGGGCGGCGTCCCTGGTTGGGCCTCCGGGGTTTGGACCCACAGAACCCAAACATCCACGTCGAGACGTGGTGAAGGATCGAAGGGATCGTAGGAGCGGCATCTTCTGTGACCCGAAAACGGCAGGAGGAGCATGTGGACTGCCAAAAGACACTGGGTTGTAGAGGAAAAAATGGTCTAACCCCACCGTGAAGAGAACGAAACAACGCAGGGTCCATGGGATCCTTTTGCGGAGTGAAATGACCCTGTTGGGAAGCATGAGTGTTTTGGTGCTTTTTGGCGTGTTGGGTTGTTTCCTCTTAAGGTGAGGACTGCTTATTCTCCAAGTTGGGACACCTGTGCATGATGCTGAGAAGTATAGGTATAGGGAGTATGTATGAGTGAAAGTGAGTATGTTAGGTGCTTGACAAGCAAATCCGTTGGCTATAGGCTATTGGTTTGTTTTTGAAAAGAATTCTCACAGGTGCATTTGCACAAACGCCCCAGAAAGGGGTCCTTTGAGTCGTTCTGCTTGATGGCAGAATGGCAGGTGGCAGAATGCGCATCTTCATTCGGACTGCCGTCACTACCAAACTGCCCTGAGCAATACACAAGCGGAGCTGCAGATCCTGGGACTTCTGATGACAGAGAGAGAGAGGGAGGGAGGGAGGGAGGGAGGGAGGGAGAGAGTGACTGGTGCGACTTGGAGGGAATGAGGGTGGCTGGATCCAAAGGAATCTATATATATATGGCTGCGGAGTTTGGGGAGTTGCTGATCGATCGAATCCCGTCTTTGATACGGTTCCAGGATGGCTTCCAATTTTTGGCAGACTTTGCTAGGTGAGGTACATAATTGGGAAAGATCCGGAGGTACATCATTCATCATAATTCAATCAATCTATTCAGCTCAGAATCTCTTGAGCCTTTGCTCGTTCTAGTTGATGTCGCTCCACTGAAAAAAAACAGCCTCAGCCCCCCAAAAGAAAGGGGTGCCCTTTTTGCACATCTGCCTTTGTGAAGCATCAGGTCCGGGTTCTGAAAAGCAGAAACTCCTGCACCATCCTTGCACCCCTCCCACAGCCTGAAGCGTTCCTTGCGAATGAGCCCCACTCCCCAGTGTTCACGCACTACTCGACACATCGCACTCGCAGGTCGCAGATCACGGCGTCTCAACTCATGGAGTCCAAGTATAGTTTGCTACAAGCTCGTGTGGAGCACTTGGAGCTGGACCTCAGCTTCAAGGCCATCGCCTCCCCATTGGGTGATAGCCTCCATAGTCAAAACGGCCCGCCCCGGTCGAACCCGGCGAAGCGCGTTTCGCTTCGTTCGGTTCCGCGTCCAGGGCCGGAAGGAAGGTCCGCAGGTCTCGAGCGTCCAGGTCCCCGTTTCGCCCCAGTCACGGCGAAGTGTCCGGTCGAATGGGGGTTGTCACGCATCCTTCTACCGTGAGGAATCCGTGAAGCTGCAGGGTTTTTACGTGGATTGAAAAGGATTGAAGACGATGACATGGTGAGGACAAGAAATCATCGGTGTTTGATTCAATTCATGGATTCGGGGTGCTGCAGGCTATCCCTCCATGTGTTGTTGTTGTTGTTGTTGGTTGTTGGTGTTGGTGTTGGTGTTGGTGGTGTTGTTGTTGTTCTTGTTCTTGTTGTTGTTGTTGTTGCTGCTGTTGTTGTTGTTGTTGTATGTTTTTTGTGCTCTTGTAAATGCATTGTCCATTCGTGCATTTTTTGTTGGCTTAGCTGTTTGAGTTTAGATGAGGTGTAGTTGTGTGGCGCAGTGCCAGCAGACAGATCACATTCTCAATCAAGGGCGCAGAAACAACAAGTGTGTATTTGATCTTACATAGCCAGCATCGTGAAACCGCCGGTGTTTGGGATTTTCATCATTCATGCTACAAGGGTGTTAACTTATTACAGATTGTTTTTTGGATGTACACTGTATATGTTTCTAGAATTTTCTAGATGGTCATGTAGTGTGTGTTTGATGTGTTTTGGATCTTTTCAGTTTTTCTCAGCTTGATGATGCTTCATTCCAGTTAGCCCAGTGGTTTCAGCTGTGTAAACTAGAACCACCGACCACCGAAACACGTCCGTTTATGCAACACGTCCGTTGCAGGCGGCCTTTGGAAGCAACGTGCAACTTGACCAGAGGAGACCTAAACGTTGACGACCGGTGGGTGGTACTGTAGCCTTGAACCAAGTGCAGTGCAAGGGGCAGTGCAAGCAGTAGCCTTCGGAGGATTCCGGAGTGGCAAGCAGCTTAGCACTGTGACATGCAGCAAAATGCTGAAGGCCCGAGGAGAAAAGCAGGACTGCAGTATTCTCCATGTCAGTTCTGGCAAGAAGGTCTTTTTGGCGCATCAACGGCAAGGGTCAAGACTGAAGCTAGCTCAACTTTGTGGTGGATGGACAGTTTTTATTTGACACCCGTCTCCAATTCCCTTTCGTCTCCATCCTATTGAACACTTCTCACCGCCACATTGGAAACCCCAAAAACTGGCCTTGTCATCCAAGCTTCCGGCCGTTGGAAGTGAAGGAATCTACATGGTCCCAAGCCCAGGACCTTCAGTTCGTGACCCCTATGGAGTCTCCAAGTGACCTGTTTAGGGACGGAATGACCTCATCCCGTTATCTCAAGTTCGGTCACTTTGAAGGTCCGGACATCAAAGTTTGTCAAAGGTAGTTTCTTGGAGAAAGGGGTACCAGTGAAAGTATGGTCCATCCACTCTTGTGTTCAATCACTATCTTGAGCGAGGGTTGGATGGAAAACAAACATACACAGACCAAAGTAGAATATGCCCGATTTGTTTGTGTTTTGCTTGTGAGTTACCAAGTGTTTACTGGCTGTCGGTTTTTGTTTTCACCGGCTGTCGTTTTCACCTCAAAGTCCCCATTGACAGTGACATAATTTAAGGTTTGATGAATTAATATATATATATATAATCATTAATGATTTCAATATAATTTGAATGTAAGTTATATAAACATTGGTACTAAGGCTCTGTGACTCCAACTTATTTTTGCGCTTCACAGAGCTGTATGGTCTGGCCAGCCTACCAGTGACTCCAAGAAACAACCACCACACCAAAAAAGATGCTGTTTGTTCCAACCCTTCTGGTGTTCCCTTCTCCAGCCTCCTCCTTCTGCTCCTCCCCCGGCTTCTCGGTTACGCCGCGTCCTTCGCGTCCTCTCCGCGTCCTCTCCGAGGCGCGGCGTGGGCGACGAGGCGGTGCTCGGCATGAGCACCACCAGTGCGCCTTCGGAGACGGGGTGCTTTGGGTCGCAGCAGGGAGAAGCCTCTTCGGCTGGGCGGGCGGCTGGACGCTGTGGGTTGGGTCGGGAAGGTGTGTGATGGTGTGTGTGTGTGTGTCCACACCTGTATGAAAGGACACTTTTCCGTGCACGATAATTTCAGCTTTGAAGTTTGTTCAGAGGCAGGGGAGTGGTGCGCGGTCT